AAAAAAAATAGCCTGCCTGGAGAAATTGTTGTCAGATTCTCAATAAGACAGTCCAGAGATGCTATTTTAAAAGCGACCTCAGCAACTCCACTGAAAATGGGGAATATAAACATTAAAACTTTAAAAGACATTCCATTTGAAATTCGCCAAAAGAGGAAAAGCTATAAGGACTTAATTTCTTTTCTTCAAACCAATGGAATTTCGTACAGGTGGGCGATCCCAGAGGGTGTCATCTTTTAAAATCAACGACAAAAGAGAAAAGATTGACTCCATTTTTAAAGCCAAAGAATTTTTGAGATGCAAGTTGGGATTGGAGGAAGAATCCAAAGATGATGAATTGAAATCAAGTGACTCCGCTACCTCTGGAATGGATGAGGACTCTGCTGTAGAAACGGGTGCAGGCGCAATGAAAGTTACATGTGATTTCAGAGACAGAAAATCGAAGTAAAGGCAGAAGGACTCTGAAAATTGCCTTTTGAAGCAAATAATAAGCAGATGCTCAGAAAGTTCTCTCACAACAACTAACATACTAACATTGAAGCTGAGACAAACAAGAACTCTACAAGTATATTGTTGTACTAACACTTTTATTAATAACAGATTAACATGGATATGATCTCCTCCTCTTGGGTTTTTAGTGTAGTGTGGTTATCTATCCTTTATCCTTAGATGTAATCCCCTTCCCTTATATTTTCTTTGTAGTTTTGTAGTCTTATTAAAAAATAATGAAAAATATCCCTCCGGGGATTTAAAAAAACAACAACAAAACACAGAGTGTTACTGGTAAATTGGTTGCTATTAATTACCATCCGGTCTAGCATCTTCTAGGTGGCACCATGAACTGTTTGAATAATTGTCATCTTATTGTGATTGTGAACTTGAGTCTTATATGTCATTTTATAGTTGCTTTATTTAAATGGTTTTACTTTTGAAGAAGAAGAAAAGAATGGATTTATACCCTGCCCTTCACTCAGAGTCTCAGAGCGGTTTACAAACTCCTTTCCCTTCCCCTCCCCACAACAGACACACTGTGAGGTAGGTGTGGGTGAGAGAGCTCTTTTGAGAACTGCCATTTCAAGGACAGCTCTTGTCAGAACTGTGTCTTGCCCAAGGTCATCCAGCAGGCACAAGTGGAGGAGTGGGGAATCAAACCCGGTTCTCCCAGATTAGAGTCCGCACACTTAACCACTACACCAAACTGCTTTGTTTAAATTATTTGCTTTTAATGTCTTCATATATTATGTGCTCAACTGACATTTTGTGACCTGCTCTGAGCCTGCTTGTGGGGTAAGGCAGGAAATAAATAAATAAGACAGGGACAATTTTCATATTAAAAACTTGAATTTCCCTGGTAATCAGGGCATTTAGAAGGAATTTCCCTGGTATATGTCATCCTCTGTGGTACCTAAAAAAAGTTTAGGATGCCTTCAGTATAAGGTCCTGTTTTCTTCAGCATGGCTTTTTGATGAGAGGACTAACTCAAATTATATGTGAAAACTATTCCCAGATATGTAAATTCCTTCACTTGTTGGATTCTAACATTATCAGTAAACCATCAGTATAAGGGAAGGGTCCATTTGTTCTGAAAGAGGAGTACTTTACATTTACCATAATTGATTTCTAGTTCTTCAAAATGTCAGTTAATGGCAAATGTGTTCAATAGTCTTTGGACAGTGGGACAGCAGAACTGCATTGTCAGCATAAAATAGGAGTGGGATCTCTAGGCCAGCTAGACAAGGAGGGTGACAGTTTTTGTCAAGGGACCTGGATAAATAATTTAAGTATAAGTTAAATAAGAACTGAGATAACAAGCACCCCTACCTTGTCAACAGAAAGGCTTTTAGAGAGACCTCTTTCTGTGCTGCAATGGACATGAGTACTCTGGCCAATATGAAGATTTTCTATCACCCACAGTAATTGTCTATCCATAGTGGATTTCCATAATTTGGCCAAAGCCTTTTTATTTATTTATTTTGGGGGGTATTTTTCATACGTGCATGTGTGTGTTCACCTGGAAATCATAGTGACCTCTGGTGACTCACCCGTCTGGAGGATATTCAGAGAGGTGGCCGAATAAAGCCTGCCCCTGCTTCCCTACTGCTGGTATTCCAAGGAGGTCTCCCATCCAAGTACTTGCCAGAATTGAACCTGCTTAGCT